GCCAATCCATACCCAAAATGACATCAAAATCGACCATATCGAGAAGTAGAAGATCTACACGAGTCTCAAGACCCCTAATGGTGACCACACACGAACGATAAACACGATCTACAGCAATAGCATCCCCCACAGGTGTGCACACATACACAGGAGCACTCAAAGTATCATGAGGCACAACCAAATATGAAGCAAAATAGGATGACACATATCAGTAAGTAGATCCCGGATCAAATAGAACTGAAGCATCTCTACTGTAAACTGAAACAATACCTGTAATAACAACATCAGATGACTCAACCTCAGGCCTGGCTGGAAAAGCATAACATCGGGGTTGGGGCCCACCACTCTGAACCACATCCCTGGGACGGCCTCTAGCTGGCTGGCCTCCACCTCTAACGACCTGACCTCCACCTCTAACAGTCTGGCCTCTACCTCTGGCTGCATGACCTCTGCCTCTGGCTGTCTGAGCAGGTGGTGTAACAACTGGTGCCGGAACCATGGCACGAGAACCCTGATGCTGTGGCGGAACACCCAATAATCTCGGACATGTCCTCCTGATATGCCCATAACCACCACACTCGAAACATCCATCTTGGTACTGTGGCTGTGGAAACTGAGACAGACCCGAACGGGCCGGATGACCATGGTAATAACTCTAAATAGGAGGTGCACTGATAGGAGCTGGTGGTGCACTGTAGGCTGGCTGTCCAGAATGAGGCACATAAGGACCACGATTCCCTGAAGCACTGTGGGATGCCTGAAGCGCTAAATGAAACGGCTTGGGAGGATGGCCCCTACCAAAAGTACCTCTGCCTCCAGATAAGGCACCGCTGAACCCACCGGAATGACGAGGTCTCTTGTCGGACCCCTGACCTCCCTGTGCAAGAACCACCTCGACTCGCCTGGCAACATTGGCAGCCGCCTAAAAAGAAATCTCACTCCCAGTCTCCTTAGCCATCTACAATCTGATAGGCTCAGCAAGTCCGTCAATAAACCTCCTCACCATCTCTCTCTTGGTAGGAAGCAGAAGAAGAGCATGGCGGGCCAAATCCACAAAATGGGTCTCATACTGGGTAACAGTCATACTGCCCTACTGGAGACGCTTGAACTGACGACAGTGCTCCTCTCTCAATGTGATAGGGAGAAACTTCTCTAGAAAGAGCTGAGAGAACTGGTCCCAAGTAAGAGCAGGCGACCCAGCTGGTCTGGTCAACAAATAATCCCTCCACCATTTCTTGGCGAAACCAGTCATCTGGAATGTAACAAAGTCGACCCCATTTGTCTCCACTATACCCATGTTCCGTAGTATATCTTGACAGCTGTCAAGATACTCCTGGAGATCCTCTGAAGTAGCACCACTGAAGTGAACTGGGAAGAGCTTGGTAAACCTGTCCAATCTCCACAAAGCCTCAGAAGACATAGCTGACCCATCATCGGTCTGTGCCGCAATAACCGGCTGAACTACTCCGACTGGATGAGCGGCTGGAGTCTGATACTGGGGAGCCATCTGCTCCGGAGTGTGAGTAGCAGGGGTCTGGGCTCCTCCTCTAGCCTGAGAGACGGCTGGTATCATGGGAAATGCGCCAGTCTAGGCCACACTCTCCATAAGGCCCACCAAACGGACCAAAGCGTCCTAAAGCACTAGGGTGGCAATGAAACCCTCCGGAACCTGAGCTGGTCCGGCAGGAATAGTCTGGGTTGGAANTATATATATATATATATACTACTATTACCCGGATCTGGAGTCACAATTTACGAACTTCTAAAAAATTTCTACAAGTAACTGTCTGAAAGAAATACAATTGTTTTCAAAAGGAAAGAAACAGTAAAATGCAATGGCTAGAAGGGGACTCCAGGGTCTGTGGACGCCGGCAGATCTACCTTGGGTCTCCTGTCGGATGAATCCAGCAGCTAACCTCACGATCAACTTGGACCAGCACCAAAATCTGCACAAGCAGTGCAGAGTGCAGTATCAGTACAATCGACCTCATGTACTGGTAAGTGCCGAGTCTAACCTCGGCGAAGTAGTGACGAGGCTAAGGCGGGTCACTCACACTACAACTTGTACGCAGTATATATAATAAAAGCAGAATAGGAAATGCAGCATAGAAAAAAGCAGTAAATTGCAAGAAATACAACAACTCCCGGAGATATATCAACAATGTTCAGAAATTTCCGATCCTTAAGTGCAAAAGAGAATACCGTAAGGCTAACACAACTCAGGGAAACATAAACACATAGGTTATTGCGGCGCGCAACCCGATCCCACCGTATCACAATAACACAATTATAGTTCACCTTTATTCCACCAAACAATCCACCTTTATTATACATGTTGCACGAGTGCAAAAGAGAATACCGTAAGGCTAACACAACTCAGGGAAACATAAACACATAGGTTGTTGCAGCGCGCAACCCGATCCCACCGTATCACAATAACACAATTATAGTTCACCCTTATTCCACCAAACAATCCACCCTTATTACATCTGTTGCGGCGTGCAACCCGTTCCCACCATATCACAATAACACAATCATAGTTCACCCTTATTCCACCAAACAATCCACCCTTATTACATCTGTTGCGGCGTGCAACCCGTTCCCACCATATCACAATAACACAATCATAGTTCACCCTTATTCCACCAAACAATCCACCCTTATTACACCTGTTGCGGCGTGCAACCCGTTCCCACCGTGTCACAATAACACAATCATAGTTCACCCTTATTCTACCAAACAATCCACCCTTATTACACCTGTTGCGGCGTGCAACCTGTTCCCACCGTATAGTATAAATTCACCCTTATTCCACCTCAATATATCACCCTTATTCCTCCTGTTGCGGCGTGTAACCTGATCCCACTATATCAACATTAATTACTCAGTATGTACAGAAATTTCACAATTTAAATCACAGAAACCCTTCACAATACTTAAACTCCAAACCGAAGCAAATAGATAACTTGTACACCATGAAAATCCACATAAATAATACTACACAGCGAGACCAATTCAGAACCTACAACAGAAGGGTACCGGTAAACCAGCTTAAGCAAATAGCAGAAGATAATGAAACTATTGAAGAACTAATATCATTAACCGGAGGAAACAATGGCTGACACGTAGCAATTAGGCATGGGAACACAAGTAGAGTATGTAACAATTAAGATAGGGAGAGAGACAATATGAGAAAATCGGGAGAAACAGGGAAAACAGATAAATTGGCGGCGCATAAGTACTCGTCACCTCACATATACGCCGCTCACATGAATTTCACATAGCAAATAGTCTGAGGGTTCCTAATTCCCTCAAGTCAAGGTTAGACACAACACTTACCTCGCTCCAAAGGCCACTCAATGCTCAATTATCGTTTTTCCTCTAGAATCCACCTCCAAACCACTCGTATCTATCCACAAACGACTCAATAATATCAAATATTGCTAAAGAAATCAATTACAATACATAAATATAGATTCCCCAAACTTTTCCCCAAAAAGTCAAAAATCGACCCGGGCCCGCTTGGTCAAAACCCGAGGTTCAGACCAAAATTCATTCACCCATTTACTCCCGAGCCCGATTATATAATTTATTTCGAAATCCGACCTCAATTCGAGGTCTAAATTTCAATTATGCAAAAATCCCTAATTCTACCCAAACCCCCAATTTCCACCATGAAAAACCTAGATTTTAGGTTGAAATCTTAGAAAAAATAGTGAAAGATTGAAAGAAACTAGTTTAGAATCACATACCAATTATTTGGGGAAGAAAAGTTCTTTGGAAAATCGCCTCTAGGGTTCTTGAGTTTGAAAATTTGAAGAATGAACCAGAAATTCCATCTAAGTCATATTTGATCAGGTGCAGATGTCGCATTTGTGACTTGGGGTTCGCAAATGCGATGAGTAGCTCGCAAATGCGAACCCATCAGTGGTCGCAATTGCGATGATTGACCTCGCAATTGCGAGGTGTAAGGCCTGCAATAAAACTGAAGCACGCCAACAATGCTCAAGTCCAATTTTTTCACTCCGTAGCCTTTCTGAATTTCACATGAGCCCTCGGGGCTCTAAACCAAAAGTGCACACAAGTCTAAAAACATCATACGAATTTACTCGCGCGATCAAATCGTCAAAATAACACCTAGAACTACGAATCGGACACCAAATCAAAGGAAATTTTCAAGAAGACTTTAAAACTTCTATTTTCACAACTGAACGTCTGAATCATGTCAAAGTAACTCCGTTTCTCACCAAATTCGACATACAAGTCATAATTATTATAGTGGACACATACCAGACTCCGAAACCAAAATACGGATCCGGTATCAATAAATCCAAACATCAGTTAATTCTTAAAAACCATTAAACTTACTGATTTTTAATTTTCAACAAAAAATTCATAGCTCGAGTTAGGGACCTCCGAATTCGATTCCAGGCATACGTCCAGGTCCCATATTTCGATACAGACCCACCGGGACCGTCAAAACACGGATCTGGGTCCGTTTACTCAAAACGTTGACCGAAGTCAACTCAAATTAATTTTTAAGGCAAAAATTCTTATTTTTATCAGTTTTTAACATATAAGCCTTCCGGAAGAACACCCGGACTGCGCACGCAAATCGAGGAAGGCTAAAATGAGGTTTTTGAAACCTCGAAACACAGAATTAGATTCTAAAATATAAGATGACCTATCAGGTCATCACACTATATCTAAGTAAGCTTATCTAATCGGCTATAGTTCTAAAGTACTTGAGAAGGTGAAGATATGATGGTAGACAAGGTAGGAAGGAGAGCCAAGGCAATCCAACCTTAACGACAGAACGTCCTGAATAATCAATTCATTTGTCAAGACAAAACATTCTCTCTTTGCCTTCGATCACATAAAAGAATAACTTTTACAGGCCTTTGTTTGTTAGACTAGATTACTAGTCACTGTAATGCGTCATGCCGACTTGGAGAGTGATAAAACATATTTTTGTTGCGTATAACCATGGAAGTTGATAAGATCTATCATCCGACACCACAGAAAGGCTAATAAATATCACTGCAAACAGAAGGTTACAATTGCTGCAGCCAGTCAAAATTTTCCAGTGTTTTTAGATTTATTGTATTAGAATGTAAAATGATTTTCTTGGGTTCATTAAAAACACAAACTGCAGCTGAAATAACGTTATCACTATTCTTTCCTTTGTCACCTATCAAAACGAAGCTTATTCCTGTAGTAAATTACATCTCCAGTGACCGTGCGAGAAGCGGCTTCTTTAATTGTCAGAGACCTTAAAAAATGTGTATGATAGGATTATATTGTTGATGCCATCCATTTTGGGGTCGGTTTCAAACTCAGGATCAATGTAAAAGAAAACCTACAAATGAAAGTTGATTATTTGTTAAATGGTAGGAACACAGGGATTGAAGTAATAATCTTCAGGCCAATGAAAGCTGATAGGTTACTTACAGGCATGTCAATCTGCTCCCCAGGAAGCAATTTCTGTTCCTCAAAGCAAAAACACTGTATTTTATTGAAATACACAGCAGCCTGAAGAGACAAAGATTATGTTTCCCATTAGAAACTTTGATGTAAGTGCCCTTATGGATACATAGTACTGCCCTGCACCTACTTATCGAAAAAATATAACTTGCACCTTGCAGCACCATAGAAAACCAAACAAGTATTATGCCAATGTGTAGTGGAAGCAACTAGATTTTTATAAAAAAAACTCCTTTCTAAAATGGCTAAAACATTTTGCAAACAGCGAGTTGATTGTTAAGAAAAATTGACACTAATTCCTCTTTAGGCATGGCGACAAATACCAAAAGAATCTAGTTGACCAATAGCAGAAGAATTTAATTACCATATACTGACGATAAAAGGTGACATTGTGAGACTAAAACCTAGACTGGAGAGAAGGTTCATAGAAGAATAAGCACCTTACTGATGAAAGTAACTTATCATATAATCTACAAAAAGTTCAAGAATACAATGATGAGAAACTTTTTTGATTTTGTACAATGATGAGAAACTTCCACTGAGCGAAAGACGAAATTCCAAGTTGTATCTCATATTAATCATTTCCGTTTTTGGGCCACTAGGAGGAGATGACAATAATGTCCTGCAAAGGCGCAAACCCCTTTCAGATTGACAGCTTTTACTTTTATCTCATTCTTCAAAAGAAATATGAGTTGAACCAATGTTCCTAGGTGGTACAGGAACTGCATGCTCAATAAGAGGAGGTCAAGGGAGTAACGGACTTGATAAGCGTGGTTGCAAGTAAAATTAATGTTGGATAGGGAACACACTAAGCCTTGTTCCTTTAGAACCTATGACTGCTGTTACCTTCTCCTTTTTTTCCCCAAATCTGAAGGAAGTTAGACACAATTTCAAGTTCTCAGTGGCTTGAGGGGAGCAGAAACACTATTAAATCCATTCAATAAGAGATGCGGCTATTTTTGGGAAGTTCATGTTAGTGGTCCAATTTTCTGATGAGCAGGGATTAAGACGGGTATTATTTCAATTATATAAGAAGTCAATGTAAAAATTAAATTGTCTGGACAGTTATGTCATGAGAAGCCATCCACATGCTGAAGAATTTTTACAGCGACCAAACTACAAACTTTCGTCTCTGCTTAATTCCTAAATGGGGCTTCCAGAACTAAGAGCTTTAGCATAATCCATCAGCTATTTAATAATACAATTCAAAGGTATCAGCCTCTTGACTTCTCAAATAAAATCAGCTCAGGTCTTTTTTTTTATAAGGTAAAATTTATTAAAAACCAGTACCAAGATACTACTGCAACAAGTACGAAAGGAGCATGACTTGTTTTACATTAAAGATTCAGAGATACTAACAAGTCCAGCAAATCAGCCATATTCAATACAATATTTCCCTTCTGACCAATAATACAGAAGCTGAACGCATTTATGTTTAGCTACTGATATAGATTCCATTATATCTTCAAAGCACCTCCTGTTTCTTTCACCCATACAGTCCAGATAATGCATGAAGGTATTCACATCCACAGCTTCTTCTGGTATCAACCAACTTTAAGTGATTACCAGCAACCTAATAAGCTTTTGAAATCCGTGGCACCACCTATTGCACTCCCCGCATATTTGAAAATATAACCCAGATCCGCCATGTGTAATTGCAATGAAGGAATAAATGTTCAGCAGACTCAAAGGCCCCTTCACAAAAATAACATTTACTGCATAACTTAAAACCTCTCCTCTGCAGATTCTCTTGGGTCAAACACGCCCCATGTGATACCAGCCATCCAAAACAAACCACTTTGAGCAAGGCTTTTCCAGATCATCTTCCAAGGCCAGGTTGCATCAAAGTCCCCAGACTGTTTCTGTAACATTCTGTAAAAAGAATTTACAGTATAGATAGCATCTCTGTTGCCCACCCAGCGCAGAGAGTCTTCTTTATTCTTATCCAAACAAAGAGCATCCAACTTCTGCAGGAATAAGCTAACCTCTGCCATTTCTCAATCACAGAAGTTTCTCCTAAAATGGAAATTTTCATTCAGCCTCATCAAAGCACTCAGCCATCAGAGCATCAGAATTGATGACCAAGCTGTACAAGCCCGAGTATTGATCCTTAAGCAGTCCTTCTCCAGACCAATTATCACTCCATAACTTGATTCTTCTTCCATTGCCCACATTTTTTTAATAAGGTAAACGTTTATTAATAAGGTACCAAGATGGTACAAAATGGTACAAGAGGCAGCCCAGATAACAACATTCTCATACTGTCCTCTCCTTCCTAACATCTCCAGAAAGTCCATACACCAATTCTGATCTACTAAATTACTACAATTTTTTTCTGGTCAAAACTAAATTACTACAGATTATGAAGACGTATTTTAAATTCTAACAATGTGATTCCTATGCCCTTCAAAGCAAGCCTTGTTCCTTTCCAGCCATAAGGTCCATAGAATGTACAATGGAATGGTTCTCCATATCTGTTTCAGCCTTCTAGATACTCTTTGAGATTGCCAAGCTTCTATTAGACCCCTTACAGTTTGAGGCATTAGCCAAGATATGCCACAAATGCTGAAAAATAGATCCCAGCATTGCCTAGATACACTACAATGGAGGAGAAGATGATTTACTGATTCCTGTTCTTCTTCACACAAGTAATATCTATTGCACAACCTTGAAACCTCTTTTCCGCAAGTCCACAAGAAATCTTTACTGGTTTGGAGTCCAATGAACTTCTCTACCATACTTAATCTCAACAACAGCTTTCCATAAAGCCTCTTTGCCATCACTGAATCTCCAGAGACATTTACATAGCAAACTCTTGTTGTGAAGCTTAAGGTTTCTCACCCCAAAGTCCACCTCCTTCCTCATCTCTTCTCACTGTATCCAATTTCCCTAAGTGAGTCCTTCTATTCATTGTATTGCCATCCCAGAGAAAGTCTCTTCTTATTTTGTCAAGCTGTTTCTCCACCTTGGCAGGAATGGGGAGTAAAGACATACGATAAGTAGGAATACCATCCAATATAGTATTGATAGTATTGACTAAAGGCAACCTTCCACCAATGGAAAGATATTGTTTTTTCCTAGGAACCAGCTTTCTTTCACATTATTCAATAACATCCTGCCATATCCTGCTGTCCTTCAACTTTGAACCCACTGGTAACCCACAAGATAGGTGGTAAGCAGCTTCTCAGTTTTGCACCCGAGTATGTCTGCCAGGTCTTCAATGTCATTTTCCAGCATTAATGGAGAGAATGAAGCTCCTGGACAGATTAATTTTAAGGCCTGACACAGCCTCGAAAGCCAGCAAAACAACTCTCAAATGCAGAAACTGTTCTTTTCCTGCACCGTACAGCAAAAGTGTGTCATCGGCATATAGTATATGTGAAATTTCCACCTTTCTTCCATCAGATCCCTCTATGCTAAAACCCTTAATCCATCCCTTTTCTGTAGCATTTTAAGCATAACGCTTAGAATTTCCATCACAAGCAGAAACAGATGAGGGCAGAGGGATGCTTCAAACCCCTCTGTGACTTAAAAAAAGCCTTCCCAACTACCATCACTTAATACTGAAAATCTTCCTTTGGAGATGAGGTTTTCATCCATTTATCTCCAAAGTTCAACTATAAAATCTCCAGAAGACATGACCAACTCACGTGATTGTAAGCTTTTTCTAGGTCAAGCTTACAAACCACCCGAGCCAAACCTTAAGGTCTATAATTTTTTTTTAATTTTAAAAAGATCACCTGAAGGTGGTAGGAGTAATTCGAACAACCATGCCTTCTGCCACCTAATGTGTGAACTAGACAATTAAATATGGCTCTACTAGGGTGACTATGCTATGAAATTGAAAAGGCATATCACCATTTTTGTTGCCATTTCATGCATTTCTCACAACAATGTGATTTTGAGCAAAGGAACAGAACTACAAAATATATAACATTCAACTGTTAACAAAAAGGTAGACAAACAATCTCTACAAAGTTCCAAATAGGGCAGTGACATGGGATCTCATCCTTCACTTCTTACTTTCAGGCAGAAGCCTAGTAGCTAGGAGTGTCAAATGTGGCCCAAAAATTGAACGACCTGCCCAGAGTTTCATGGGTTGGGCATAAGATTATTTAGTAATGGGCTGATTCTTAACCCACCCAATATAACCCGTTTTAAAATGATACCCCAGTACTATGCCAATTGAAACCGTTTACTAACCTGAATGTCTCCCACTTCTTCACGCTTTTTTTCCCAAAATCAATTTCTCTTCGGCACTCCTCAGAGTTACCTCTCATGCCATCTCTCTCTCTCTTTCTCTCACTCTCTCCTCAGTACTACTCAGTGGACACGCCGAAGAGACTGAACACCAAAGGCTTTGTTGATTCCTCCATTTTCTTCAACAAAGTAAAGTGTGCCCTATTTTTTCTCCTTCTTTGCACTTTGTTCCCATTTTTCCACTGTTCCCAATTCGAAAAAGTAGGAAAAAATGCCAGCATTTATACAGGATAATCACAAGTCAGTTATAAATCTACTCTTTTTTTAATATTATAAATCTGCTCGATAATCAATTCCATGGAAAGTTCAAATAAAAGGGTAATTTCATGTCTTATCCTAATAGGTCCTAAGAGTCATGCTCTCTATTAATCAAAACATCAGTACAATTAACTTTACATATGCAGAATCACATGTGAAGACAGAACTATAGAGGATGCAGTCAGGGATTCTTGCACTCATATGGTAAAAGAAAGAAAAGAGGCAATAATAAGAGATTGTCTTCATGCGCTTTGGCCTACGACTTAGAATGGGGTCAGAGTCACCAAGATTTCTCTTGGACTTGGTGAGACCTTGTCTGGTCTCTGAAGATTGGCGTGCTAAAAGCACGAATTGGGAGCCCTTGCACAAAGATGGAATGTGCATCCATCTGTTCTTGGTGGTGACATTCAGGGACTTTCTCCAAAGAAGGAATATGAGATAGAGAGAGAGAGAGAGAGAGAGGCGCCGCATGTGGCAGAGTAATGAGCAACACGTGATGTGTGTTCTTGTTAAAGTGTGTGACCATCTCA